GGGTGTCCTCTTGCTTGGGTTTCCAGGGTTCCAGTTCCTTCCTGAAGGATATTCCCCACCACCAGGGGTCAGGCGCCCCTTCTCTTTGACTCTCTTTTTTTTTTTTTTTGGAGACCGAGTCTCGCTCTGTCTCCCAGGCTGGAGTTCAGTGTCGCGATCTCGGCTCACTGCAAATTCCACCTCCCGGCTTCAAGCAATTTTCCTGCCTCAGCCTCTGGAGTAGCTGGGATTACAGGTGTGCGCCATCACGCCCGGCTAATTTTTGTGTTACTGGTAGAGATAGGGTTTCATCATGTTGGCCTTGTTGTTCTCAAACTCCTGACCTCAGGTGATCTGCCCACCTCCCAAAGTGCTGGGATTTCAGGCTGAGCCACCATGCCTGGCTTCACTGATTCTTAAAGCAGGAAGGGTCTCACATTTCTCTTCCAGTATAATAGAGCTTCTGAGGGTAGCTGCCTTCATTGTCTATAGGAGGAGGCCCTAACCCCTAAATGGTTTTGATCATATTGTTTCTGAACATTATAACAATCAGCTTAGGCTTAAGTTACAGCTACCTTGATTATCTCCAGAGGAAGAGTGGCCTTTAATGCTCCAAAAGTTTATCGTCTTTATTATTATTTTTGAGACAGAATCTTGCTCAGCCACCCAGCTGCAGTGCAGTGGCCTGATCGGCTCAGTGCAACTCTGCCTCCTGGGCTGGAATGATTCTTGTGCCTCAGTAGCTGGGAATACAGGTGTGTACCACCACACCTGGCTAATTTTTATATATTTAGTAGAGATGGGGTGCCACCATGTTGGCCAGGCTGGTCTCGAACTTCTGACCTCCTCCCGCCTCAGCCTCCCAAAGTGCTGAGATTACAGGTGTGAACCACCGTGCCTGGCTGTTTATCTTCTCAAGGATGGTCAGGGTGGCATTCTGGTGTCTTTCTCTCTAGACCCGAGAAAGCATAAGTTATATCTTTAGTGGGACTTCTTACCATAGGATTAATAATAGTATTTACCTTAGAAGATTATAATTAGAAAGAAATGACATAATACTTGTAATAAAGTAACATGGTACTGGAGACATGTGTTCACATTTGTTGGTTTTTATTATTACACTGATAATTCTGGTGGGAATTAAGCACATCATTATAATCACAGTAAACTCAAAGGGAGAATCAGAAATCCATGGTAACCTTGAGGGCCATCAAAAGTCATAGACACCGTGCACAGCTTTCCGATTTTTCTAGTCTTTTTCTTGCTCCTTCCACTACTTTCCCCCCAGTTTGGTCCCCTAAGATTTAGAACTACTAGTAGGGTGACCAGTCCTATTAGCTGAGTTTGCATTGAGCCGAGGGATTCTTCAAGGAACGTGGGACTTTTAGTGTTGACATTGAGAAAGTCTGCTGAAAACCAGGACAAGTTGGTAACCCTAATCCCAGCGGTGCTCATTTTGTGCCTCAGCATCCAGGGCCTTCTGAATTAAAGAAGCAGCCAGGCAAAGTATCAGCTTGTCTTGGCCTAGAAGCCCAGACCTGATAATTCAGAAGAAAAGGGAACGGATAAGTTCTGCTCTCAACTGTGTATAAAGGGAAAAAACCCACCATGTATATTTCGACAATGCTCATGGAAGAAATTCAGAAGTGGTCATTTTTAGGTTAGGGTAAATTCAGAAAAATGACAGAGTCAGGAAAACATTATCCCAGGGGTCAAGAATGACTCGAGCTCTGCCTACTGAACTCTTCCTTGTGCCAGTCTTGCTAATTTTATCTTCAGGGAGAGTTTTCATTAGAAAATACCATTAAGGGTCAGGCGCGGTGGCTCATGCCTATATTCCCAGCACTTTGGGAGGTTAAGGCGGGTGAATACCTTGAGGCCAGGAGTTTGAGACCAGCCTGGCCAACATGGTGAAACCCTGTCTTTACTAAAAATACAAAACGTAGCCCTGTCTGGTGGTGCACGCTTATAATCCCAGCTACTCAGGAGGCTGAGGCATGAGGATCATTTGAACCCAGGAGGTGGAGGTTGCAGTGAGCTGAGATTACACCACCACACTTCAGCCTCTGTCTCAAAAACAAAAATAGACTATTAACATTTTTTAGTTGTGAGAAGATATAAAAATTTCCATCTTAACCATTTTACGTATATAATTCAGTCACGTCAAAGTACATTCACATTGTCATGCAACCATCACCACCATCCATCTTCAGAACCCTTTTCATCTTGCACAGTCTAAATCCTTTGCTCATTAAATAGCTCCCTATTCCCTTCCTCCCCACAGCCTCTGGCAGTCACCATCCTACTTTTTGTCTCTATGAATTTGACTGCTCTGAGTACCTCATATGACTGATATCAGACAGTATTTGTCTTTTTGTGACTGGCTCAAGAGAAACACATTTTAGATGACTGGTTGGAATTAGGAGCAGGTGGAACCACAACTGGCCCAGGCCTCTCATCTTTTTCTCCTTTTTCCCTGTTCCACAAATACAACAGCTGTGGACACGTGGTCTCATCTCTGCGGTCCCTAACACAGTGGTTATCAACCTTGTTTACATATTAGAATCCCCTGGGAAAGTTTTCAAACTACTCTTGCCTGTACCAGATTCCAGGCTAATTATGTCAGAATCTCAGAGAGTGAGGGCTTACCTATGCATCGTTTACAAAACACCCTAGGCATCTCAAATTTGCAGTGGAAATTGCTGTCCACAGCAAGTTGATGAGCTGAAATGTGGAATAACAGTGGGTAAATCAAAAGAGTTTAAAGCAGATGGTCTTTAAGGTCTTTTTATATTAGAAAATGTGCAAAGTCATGTAGTATCTTTCTAATTCTCACCCAGCAGTGGTTGAGTGGATTCACCTACACCCGAGGGGAGCTGGGCGGACAGTCTCTGGAGTGTTGCTCCCCCTGCAGTTCAGTTATATGTTACGACCACCCCACTTTAGAACCCTCTTAGTCACCCAGGTAGGCGCTGGACATTGTCATTCCCCTGTCACGTGCAGTCAACAAATACTTACAAAGATGGGTCACCTTTCCTTTAAAAACACGCAAGCCAAGAGATAATGATAATTGTGTTCATTCCATTGACTTCTAAAGACCGTGAGATTTCTAAATAATTTTAAGGCCGAATGAAGGACATTGCAGGAATATTGATTCCAGCTCCGTACAAGAAATAGTTTTCTGCAGTGAGAGTGGTTTAATAGAATGAGGAGCCTTGTGAAAGTGATTCCTTTGGTTCTAGTGCTACACACTTGTATTTGGAATATTGACTTTAATGAATGCCGGAGGATAAGATTCGCAAAGTAGAAGAAACTAGACTGACTTATGAGGCCCTTCTAACTCCAAAATGCCATGAGTTTAAAGCCAGATAGTAGAAGAACGACGTAAGATGCAGGAATGACTTCTGAACTGAGAAATGCAGCAGCTCCAGAGTTCTGATTATTTCAGCTTTCAACCACTTCCCAAAGACTGAGTTATTAACTGTAAAATAGCCAAAAATGAACACAAGTGGGTCTTGTTATCAAGAAAATTTATTATAAGAAGTACATAAGAATCAGAACTTCTAAAGAAGATTAATTAGGGAGTTGATTATTTGCATTGCAGAATAATTCCTGACTTCATGAAATCATTTTTGGATACTAGAGTTCCTGTGAGCATTTTAGTATGGATTTATAGGTCACCAGTCACTTAGCCAAAGTGCTTGGGAGAGTAAAATCTTAACCCTAAAGAGCTAATCACCACTCTTTAGTGCTTATTTGGAAATAATAAACATCTGATATGTTTATATTTCCTTATTGTCATTAGAAAAACAATATAATTTCACTACAGGTGTTTAGACATGCCATCAGAAAACACAAAACATCCAAAAATTCAATGCAGAAATAACTACAATTTGAGTACTATAATATGTCAAAAATATCGTTGCATTTAATCCTCAAATAATCCTTGTAAAGCAATATTATTATCTCAGCTTGGTGAAGTAATTTATTCAGGAGCAACAAATGACGTACAACCCAAATCTTTCTGATTCTTTCCCTTACACCAAGTTACCCCAATCAACATCACTTAGAACAAACTTGCTCACAAACAGCTTGGAGACCATGTGTGTTTGGGTTAATTTTTGCCCTTAATATATTTTCAGTATGTGTTGCCAGTGTTTAAATGTTAGATTTCACATAAAAGCCTGGATGTCCTGGCTGTCTCAAAGAATCAGAAGGTCTGGAAGCCCAGTCCCTGCAGTCCTGATGGTGACAGGCTGGGTGGGTCCTACCTCAGCAGGGGCTTGAGTTCTGTAGATTGTGCTGGTTCCCACCCGTCTGTGTTGCATTCCCCAAAGGAAAGCGAGTGTCATCGGGGATTTATCCCCTCCCATCCAGCCCTCATTGCTTACGTTGTTATCTACCTGACACCTGTTGTCACTGCATTTGCAACCCCAAATAAACTCTCTCTTCCACTTCCCTTGGCCAAATTCAGATCCCAAATGCTCTGGTTCTGTATGTCTCCAAGTAATTTTTGCATTGTTCTCATTTCCCAAGAGTAGTTGGGCTTAAGGAAAATTCATCTTAGAATTCTTCTGCCCAGAAGTAGTTCTATGACATTGTTTCCTCACCTGTTGGGGAGTTTTTGCCTGTGCACTTAATAGCCGGTCTTGTTTTCATTTCTTCCTGCTCCTGGAGGGCCAGGTTTGGTGTTGCTGGTGATGGTGGAGGAGGAAGAAATGACTTCAAGTTATCTCTGGGATGACCAATGAGCTATGACCAGCAAGCTGTGACCACTGACCTGGTGGAATGGCCTTAGTGAGTAATAGACAGCAGTGATGTGTCAGCTTTCTTCTGGTGCAGGAACAACCAAATCTCTTATATTTCAGTGGCCTGGTTCCCAATAGACCCTGCAGGCCCTACAGGTCGTCTTCCCAAGCTGCCCCTTGCTTCACACCAGCACCTTCCACTCCATAATATTATAGAAGGACACCTAGCCAGACAAAATGATACAAGTTAATTTTATTAGGTCAAGGCTGGTGGGCACTGAAGTGGCACCTTCTGGGGCCAGGAGAGGCACTGGGAAGAGTTGCAGGATGCCACATGGGCACCTAGAAGCCACAGCTGCCCTCCACAGAGCGGCACTGCGCCATGCGCAGGAATGTCTCGACCTTATCCATGTTCCTCCTGAAGCAGTGGAGCAGCCTGTAGTTCTCGAGCAGTGCATCATTGTTGTGTCAGTTTGTGTCAAACTTGATGTAGGTCGCTTGAAGACCTGCCCAGTCCGGGGGCTGCCATCTTCCAGCCTCTGCAAAGTGAAGGAAAAGAAGGAGAGGTCAAGTGCTTGGTCACTGTTCCCTCCCTGTCTCATTCATTCATTTTCCTCCCTCCCCTTCAGGGTGTAGAGAAAGGCCTGGAGGATTCACCAGGGGAAATGAAGAATAAGGTGAGTTCTCTTGGGTCAGGGCCTGACTGCTAAAAAGAGGGCAGCAGTGTTTCTCTCTCCCAGCCCTCGAAGCCAGTGGCGTTCCAGGATTGGGGACCCCTGGCACCACCCTCACCCCCATCAGCGTTTGGATGCCTTCCTCTAGGCTTTTTAGGAGGTCATAGACGTCGCTGTCCGAGGTGCCACACACTAGCCTGTTGGCAAACACACTCCTGAGGAACTGCACGGGCTCCAGCCACGACTGGATGAGCAGCAGGGAGATGCGGAGCAGCTCTAGGTTCTGCAGGGGAAGGACCGGCAGTGGCTGTGCTGCCCGGGGCCTCTGACCACAGGTCTCCTGCATTCCTGCCTTGGGGAGAAGGCATCCACTCACAGATTTCTGCTGCCTTTCCTCCATGTTGGAGGGTGTGGGAATAGACTCTGAGAAGCAGAGGGAGGTCTGGGGGTTCTGCAGGAATGAATACTTATTTTCCTTTGGGATATAGGCTTCTTCCTGGGAGAAGGACCACCCACCCTGCCAACCAAGAAGGATCGCCGGTTTCTATGCTGGAGACCAGCTCCCATTGTTACTTTTCTGGGAACCTCACTCAGCATATCGTCATCTGCCTGCATTTTCGCTTCAGAAAAGAATCCTGAGCTCCTTAGTCTCCTCCCATTACTTCCCAGCGGGGGTAAGTCACCCCTTCTTGCCACCGATGTCGCGCCCCCATTCCCCAGGAGCTTACAAACTTCTGGTAGGTGTCAAAGGCCAGCTGGTGCAGGCGATGGGCGTGGAGCATAGCGTTGTCAAAAAACCTGGATAAGGGAACGGATTGGACGGCACCGGCCTCTTGAAGCCATGGCCGGCAGAGCAGGGCAAAAGCCAGGATCTGGGAGGTCCGGGAGCCTGGGGAGAGACCGGAGGGCAACGGAGGGAGCCGAAGAGCAAGAGGCTAGCACTCTCCCTGCCCCCGGAATTTTTTTTTTCTCTCTCCCCATCCCTCCAGGAATCAGGAACATTCTGAGATTGGCCAAAAATCTGGGCTTAGATGGCGATACTCACATTCAGAAACCCCAAACCTGAGGATTAGTGTCTCTGTGCCATCTACAGGGGCCGCCTCTTCCTTCGGGACACATCGTGCAGAAATGGATTTTAGGGGCGCTTACCTGCAGCCATTGCAGCTAGGTGGGCTGTCCACAGGACCCTGAGTGGTTCGGGGAGTTGGGCCTTGGGATCCTGGAGCGGGTCTCTTGTGGGCCCTTTTTATATCCTGGCCCCTTATCTCTCGCTGCTTGACCCCACTTGTTTCTCTGTACGTCACTGACGTGCCTGTGCTAATGGATAATTTAGAAGTTCCTCCCACACATGCTGGGATCATGCCCCCTGACTTGTCATCTTTCTCTTCCCATCGTCACTAGCATTGTGAGGGTTGTGCCCAGAGTGTCAGGCAGAGATACTACCCAACCTGTCCTCTCTTTAAGGGTCAGGTGGGTGCCCTCTGGCAGCACGCCATGGTGGAAAACCTGAACGTGGGGAAGGATGTCAGGATAGCCAGTCCTCGAGACCCCTACAGACCCCATCCCACTCTCTATCCTGTCCCTTTCCTCCTCCCCACATGTTTCCCCTCCACCCTAGCAGAGAGAATGTACATTTTGGGAAAAGGAGCCAAACATATCCAATAAATTGTGGGGGTTCCGGGCACGATTCAGTCTTGAATTCCACTTTTGCTGATTCCTCCCAGGCCCGCCTGAGGCAGCTGGATGCAGTGCTAATACTGACCACTAGAGGGAACCAACCCCCCACTTTGCTCTCCCCTTTCCCTGAGCCTTGGGGTGGGGGTGGGGGTGGGTGCTCCCCCAGGTCCCTGGGGAGGAAGAACCCAGACTCAAGGTATTGCCCCAGCTCCTTGGACCTGCAGCAGAGATACAAGCCAAGAAACAGAAATCCCGGGGACAGACACGGACCACAAGTGCTTCCTCCCCTAGCCCTGAAATCATCAGAGAATCTCAAAGTTAGAAGAGTTCTTGAAGGTTTAAGTGTCTTTCCCGGTTTTGGAACTCAGAACACATCAGGCAGAAAGATGCCCTATGCAGCCGTGGAAGCCCTTCCTCTTTTTTCTCCCCCTCCTTTCCAGGTCTGTATAGAGCTTATCCAGTTGCCAAGGGCCTGCCTATGCATTCTCACGTCTGACCTGCCACTTGTCTTGTGTAGTAGGTATTATTATCATCCCGTTTCACAGATCAGGAGACTGAGGCTGAGAGAGACTGATTGCATGAGGTACCTCAGCCAGGGCAGCAGATCTCCACAACCTTGCTCTTCCCACATAGTGTCATTCAAAGTCCTTTCTCCAGGCCGGGCACGGTGGCTCATGCCTGTAATCCCAGCACTTTGGGAGGCTGAGGTGTGTGGATCACTTGAGGTCAGGAGTTCAAGGACAGACTAGCCAACATGGCAATACTCCCTCTCTACTAAAAATACAAAAGTAGCTGGGCATGGTGGCACAAGCCTTTAATCCCAGTTACTCGGGAGGGTGAGGTGGTAGAATCGCTTGAACCCAGGAGGCAGAGGTTGCAGTGAGCCAAGATCGGGCCACTGCACTCCAGCTTTGGGGACAGAAGGAGACTCCCTCTCAAAAAAAAAAAAAAGTCCTTTTTCCAGAGCAGGTAGTGTGGTGCTACTCAGTAACATAGTTATTTTAGTTTCTTTCTTTTCTTTCCTCCCTCCCTTCCTTTCTTTCTCTCTCTTTCTTTCTTTCTTTCTTTCTTTCTTTCTTTCTTTCTTTCTTTCTTTCTTTCTTTCCGTCTTTCTTTCTTTCTTTCTTTCTTTCTTTCTTTCTTTCTTTCTTTCTTTCTTTCTTTCTTTCTTTCTTTCTTCCTTCCTTCCTTCCTTCCTTCCTTCCTTCCTTCCTTCCTTTCTTTCTTTCTTTCTTTCAATGGAGTCTCATTCTGTCATCCAGGCTGGAGTGCAGTGGCATGATCTTGCCTCACTGCAACCTCCACCTCCTGGGTTCAAGTAATTCTCTCACCTCAGCCTCCCTAGTAGCTGGGATCACAGGCGCCAGCAACTATGCCGGGCTAAGTTTTGTACTTTATTAGTAGAGACAGGGTTTCACCATGTAGGCCAGGCTGGTCTCAAACTCTTGACTTTAGGTGATCCACCCTCCCTGGCCTCCCAAAGTCCTGAGATTACTGGCATGAGCCACCGCTCCCAACCCAGTAATTTCAGCTTCTAAATCCCTCTGAGTGCAGGGATTCTGCCCCCAACACAAGCGGATCTTTGCCTCATTATGTCTTTCCATAAGGGACAGATTGTTCTTTCTCTATACCCAGGTGAGAATGGCCCAGTGGCATGGGGTGCCTTGTGGAAACCTCACAGCAGGACAAGGTGAAGGCAGAGAAGGTCAGGACTGAGCCTCCTGTCTCCTGGATCCCAGGGTTGGGGTTGTTTCACTGTCATCTGGAGGTCACAAGCATCAGATGCCCCCAGAGATGAGAGCAGGAAAGAACATCCTCACCTGCACTGACATCTTCCACCCCTAAGTTTAAGAGCATCTAGCACTCAATGCTGTAGAAACACAAGCAAGCAAACAAGCAAACGGTTCTAGAAGTGGTTGACTGTGGTGACATTGCTGTCATTTTTCAAGGTAACCTTTGCTGCCCTGCTGCAACGCCGAGGATGGAAACCCCTCAGGGGTTTGAAATTCTTATCCAAGGATGAAAATAAGAAAGATTCTACTAGGTTGGGAAGAAAGAGACTCAGAAGTGGGCCTGGTAGGCTGGGGTGGGTGATCCTCAACTTTCAGACCTTCCTAACTCTGTCTTCTGTGCTTGGACAGGATTGGATGAAGGAATCAGCTCTGCCCTCTTTGTCGTTATTACCGTTGCCCTTGGAGTGGGTGTCATCACCATAGCACTGTATTTGAGCTATCGGCCCTGCAAAGTGGACCAGAGGAAATTATGCTATAGACAGAGAGAGGAGGACAAAGAGGAGGAAAGCTAGTTTGCTGTTGAGGAAGAGAAAAGTACAACTCATATAATTGACAGCTATTTGATTGAATGAGACTTCTGCTACTGTGGTTTCCCAGGCAAGGAAGAAGGGATAGAGGAGAAAGGAAGAAACAGAATGGCAGGCTACGTTACCCTTTGTGTTCTTCTGTCTGTAAAACAGTGTTTCAGGCCCCCATGTCCCATGTCTCCAATATGTCCAGAAGCTCACCTTTCTCTCCCTCTCTTTTTTTTTTTTTGAGATGGAGTCTTGTTTTTGTCGCCTAGGCTGGAGTGCAATGATGCGATCTTGGCTCACTGCAACTTCAGCCTCCCGAGTTCAGGCGATTCTCCTGCCTCAGCCTCCCCAGGAGCTGGGATTACAGGTGCACACCAACACAGCAGGCTAATTTTTGTATTTTTAGTAGAGACGGGGTTTCACCATGTTGGCCAGGCTGGTCTCAAACTCCTGACCTCAAGTGATCCGCCCACCTCGGCCTCCCAAAGTGCTGGGATTGCAGGTGTGAGCCACCGTGCCCAGCCACCTTTCTCTTTAGAGCCCATTCTAGTCATTAGGAATCTCAGTCTCAATGTTTGATTTGTAAGAAGGCCTCTTGTGCCTTGCCAGTTGCATCATCAGTCCACTCTTAGATCTTAAAAAACAAACAACAAAAAAAGAATCTGTCCTTTCCTCATGCTTCGCACTGCCCTTTTCTCTTAAACATCATACTAAAGTCAGGCACATCTTAGAAATGCAACTCATATTTCATGGTTTTCTGATTTCTAACTGGGAACTCAATTTGTAGTCCAGGGACAGGACTTTGAAGGGAGTAAGTATCAAATACGGGGCTAGGAGTCAGAGCTCTGTTCCCATCTCCACTTTTCCTTGCTCCCCTGACCTGGGCTTCTGGAGTGCCAGCTCCCAGAGCTGAGCTTGTTGACATCATTAAGGATCAGTGGCAAGCTTCAACTCAGTAACCATCTGTTGTGGGTCTTGGGGGAGTATACAGATGGTAAGAAATTCCACTTTGGGCCGGACAAGCATCCTATCTAGCCCAGTGTTCTGTCTGTGAAGTAGAAGGTAGAGTTCTTCCACGGAATTGGCATCATAGGTTAAGCACTCCAAACATCTCTGAATTCCTTTTGACAGAGAGATCAACTGTGAGTTCTCATTTGCCAGTTTTCTTTTTTTTTACCCAGGTGCGCGTCTAGGTTACAGTTCCAATGTTTATTCTCCCTTTTCATCAATAAGTACATATTTTCATCTGTCTGCAGACAATTTCCCTGAAGCTTCAAGAGGAATCCTCTTGTGAAAATGTTCATACGATTTTATGATTCAGCTTCCTTCCCTGTCCTTGGGGAAGAGTATATTCACCCTCGGAGAAGGCATGAGGAATCATAAAACCAGATCTTTTCTTCCAAATCAGTCAAGAAATGTTCACTGAAATGTTGCTATGGTAAAAATAAAAGTGATTTTATGATATTCAAATGCATTTCCATTATATTCTGAAAGTTCTTATTATGTCAAATGGTTACATTTTATAACTTTTTTTTTCTTTTCTTTTTTTTTTAAGATGGAGTCTTGCTCTGTTACCCAGGCTGTTGTGCAGTGGCGCGATTTCGGCTCGTTTCAACCTCCACCTCCCTGGTTCAAGCCATTCTCTGCCTCAGCCTCCCAAGTAGCTGGGATTACAGACGCCCACCACCATGTCCAGCTGATTTTTTGTGTTTTTAGTGGAGACAGGGTTTCACCATCTTGGCCAGGCTGGTCTTGAAGTCCTGACCTCGTGATCCACCCACCTTGGTTTCCTAAAGTGCTGGGATTACAGGTGTGAGCCACCGCTCCTGGCTGCATTTTATAACTTTAAGTACAATTTCTAAGGAAAAAACACCGTGTCGATAGCATAAACAACCAGCCCAGGTTAGGGTGTGCATTAGCTCAGGGCAGCAGCCTATTTGACCTGCTTTCAAAACTGAAACTCAGGCCAGGGGC